AGAGGGGTGTGAAGCTAGTCTTTTGACATGCGTGTATCAGATAAAAGGTTGTACGGGCCTTTACCTGAAGGCGTAGCGGTGTTACAGTGTATTACAGGAGACTTTGCCTATATACACTTTATTTACATGACTATAAGAACATAACAAGGGACAAGGTATAGGTGAGGAGATAAGATGTAGAGGTGAGGTGAGTCGGCCTCACGCCGACGGCCTAACTGCCGCTGGAAGCTGGGGGCAGCTTAAATACCTCCAGCTAAGGTTGCGAAATCAACGGTGACGACTCTTAGCTGATTGATGGCCTCCGGCACCATCCAGCACGATGACGAGGCCTCCGGCTCGATAGCGGGGACACGACACGTGGAAGGCTGGAATGTTCGAGTTTACACCGCCAAGGAACTGCATCATGATGCCACCCCCCCCCCCTGTCTGGAATAGGCTCGGAAATTTCCCTGCTGGTTGCTAAAAAAAAGCGTGGATTACGTAGCTGAGTGGACGAAGCAAGCGGTGCGACTGCCTGCTGCAAGTGGACAACGGTAGCCGGTTTGCTTACTTTGTAGTTCCAAGCAGTACGCAATTTTACGTGGTTACGTAATTCACACCATAGTCGACGCCTACTCCCGTCAGCCGCTTGTACTGATCTCACAATTTGAAATGGTTTCCTGAGTATTTCGCCAGTAACTTGAGACATACTTGCTGGGTAACTAACTACACATGAGACATGTGTTAGTCTAGCGTCCGTCATCATTCTTTAGGTTCATATGCTGTGTTCCCTCTCATATTTATTCTTTTCCTCATTGAAGCCATTTGTTATCATTTTTCGATTTTTTCTGGTAACTCGTTCTACTCGTTTTGCAAGTGAAAACGGTGAAATCACGAGCTTGACATCGAGAGTTTTAAGACGTTGCGTCACGTAGTGATGTGATAATGGCCTCCTGCAGTACCTCACCAGTCGAGGTTAACGAGGATGTAGCGATCATCATTCTCCGGCATCTAGCTGACTTATGGTACAACGATTGTCCAGACACACATTGGATGAGGATAAGGGTACGTTTCGTTTTTAACACACTGCGTCCTGCGGGCGCTACCGTGTGGCAAACGATTCCATACTGTAGAGCATCCTTTTTAGAATTGTTTGCACTTTTTCTTCAAAGCCGGAAAACAATATGAGTCATGATTGATTAAACAGTTGATAGATTAATGATTATTTATTCTTAAAAATTCAAAAAAGATGCGGCATACTCGTACAACGGCGGTCCACAATGTGTTCAAGAGGGCTCATCTGTAATGGGAGCTTCATGGCACAAATCATTTAAAAACCGTGCAACGCATTTTCACCTTCATGTTTACAAGGAATGCCCCCAAGTCACATGCCAGGCTACTTAGGATTAGACGCATGATTCTATAAGTGTCTTGCAGCAGTGACCTCAGATCTGCCTTCTAAATCTGCTAAACGATTTTGCAAATAGAGTTATGAAGCGGAAGAGCGCAGCGGTAGTGGTTTGGACGCCAGAGCTCGTGGGATCGAGTCTCCTAGCTTACTCCTTAGCTACATCGTAAGTGTTTCCAAACGGTTTTTTACTAGTTATTTCAGCAATGCTCGTCTATTCTTAATCGTATAATTACCTCACTGTGAAGGCTGTGCGCCATTTGCCCATGGCTTTTCATGGTTACGTGCAAAGTGTGAGGCAAGGGACATTTATAAAAGTATCTTTAGAAATACTGCGCACAAATACAAAGGAGTGAACTGGCAGGAGATCGGTCTAACGAGCACTCGCCCAAGGGCCTGTACTGTTACTGCTGCGCTTTGCGGCTTCATAATCGTTCATAGAATCGCTTAGCAGATTTGGAAGGCAGATTTAAGCTCATTATTCGAAGGTGCATATAGGAATATGCCTCAACTCTGCGACTGTGACGATCTGAAAGTCTTTCTTTGTTGGTTTCTTCTACCGGCAAACTGCTGGTAGGAAAAGTACTGACGATCAGGAATCCGAAAAAGAAAGAAAACTATAGTGCGACCCTGCTTTACTCACCCCCAAACATTCCTCTCGTTCGAAATATGTTATTACTTTTCCCCGTCTGAATGTCCGCTGCTGTACCGCGGCTGCTTTTGCATTCGAAAGAGCAGTCATTGTTAGGGTCAGGTCATACTTTGCTTTTCTTGTATTTGGTGGAGTAGCTACGTACCGATTACACATTCGATCGCAAAATCGCATGGTCATCACGTATCTACACACTCGAATTGCAAAGTATAGCACGACTCTTAGGCCTCGTTCGTTCCACATTTCGGAAAACTGGGACAGTGAAAATGTTCTGTATTGATTGGTAATTCGAATTCAACTGAGAAGGTAATATATATGTTTATTCGATTTGATTGGAGACTCCTAATGCTCTTTCTCTACTCTCCTAAGCAAAATAAACATATTCTATCGGTACTTATATCCTAATCTCAAAACTCCTATTTCCTAATCTTCTTATCTCTCAAAATGTTAAACTTGATCGCGACCTAAGTTTTCTCCGAATCTTCTTTTTTCTTCTTCTTCTTATTCTTAGCGTTTGTCCCGCTTGGTGGCGGGGTCCGCTTTTCTGATGTGTTGACGCCACTTTTCCCGATTGAATGCTTGATCGGGGATGGATACCAGCTAACTTCAAGTCCATATGCAACGTATCAAGCCAGCGCTGCTTTGGGCGTCCCTTAGGCCGTTTTCCGGGCACATCGATGTTGAGGCTCATCTTACGCACAGTGTCATCGTTTCCACGAAGCACATGACCATACCATCGAAGTCGAGCTTCGCGGGCATTTCTTTATCATAAATGTGAAGCTCCACCAAAGCGATTGCGTATGCATTACGAATACGATCTAACGCGTGACTCCAGCCGTCCAGCATAGCATTTTCGTTTCTCGGAATTCATATACTATTTAATAGCTTATGGTTAGCACAAGTCAGGATCTTGCGGAGCTCGCTTAGCTAGCGTTTGATTATGTAGTTGATTGAGCACATCTAGGTAGCAATTTGGACGGGAAGATTTGTCGGCACAAAGATCTTTTTTAAAAGGCTCATCAGTTGTTGTTTAAATGCATACGAAACGTCGACTGCTCTGCAGCGTACGGAAAGATTATGAAGTCAATTTCAAAATACTCTGGTACTTCAGACTCATGAGAATATTTATAATGTAGTATTATTCAATTTTTGCAAAAATACACAGCTTTCATCTTAACTATTGCCCCAGGTAATTTATTCATGCTGTGGGACTAAGCATTTTAGGCGTGGCCGATCGGTGCTCATCTTATTCTTCTTGGCTTGAAAAATACATCCATTCGTTTTAAAATGTAGTGCTGTTTGGAGCTACAAAACATTGTAACGATAGCTCATTATTATTATTATCTGAAATGCCCTGTTCTCGGAAACGGATGGAAAAATTTACTTCGTTTGTTCAATTACTTACAGTTACACATATAGCTGCATTTCTAGGTTTTTGAGAGCTATTTTCGTCTAGGGAGTCTGCAAGGCGTTCAATCGTGCCGTTCTTCGTTATCTATCCAAAACTGTCAGCATAGGCTTGGAAAATCCAGAGGGATGCGTAGAGGTCTGCTCGCTTTTTCATTGTTTCTTTGTCGTTACTGCGTTTTCTTGTTTTTGTAACAACTGCATACTGAGTTTGTCCACACCGTACAGAAGTGGTATTGATCTTTCCGGCTTAGTTTGGTAACATAAGCATATCGAGTGAGATAGTTACATAGGATCGCAATAAAGGTTGTTCTGTCATTAGACGTTAGTTACGAGGAATGTTTCGAAGCTCCTTTGGGGGTTTTTTCAAGGACCTTGAGTGCTTTTACAAGAAAATCTTAAACAACTCTAACATCTCCGAATAATCCCAAATACCTAGCATTCTTGTGGAATGTTTTAGTTCTTAGAAATTACTTCGAAAATCGGAAAAGATCTACTACTTTGGTAAGTTAGCTTCACGTGACCTGGGCAATCACCTACAGGTTTAGCGCTTTAATTTATTTGATTGAGCAAATACATATCACAAAGAATCTCTGCATTTTCATCGAAATTTCTCGTGTATTGCTACAAAAAAGAAAACATGTGGCTGCACATTTGTCTTTTGCTTGAAGTAAATGCTGGCCAATTTAGGTTTATCACTGCGTTGAAGAGGGTGGAAATGATAGTTGCACTAGGACTATTTTTGAGGATAAGAACACTGCAGCAGATTATTTGAAGTAAGTTCTCTCGGTTTTGACCAATGAACCAATAGTCATTTTTGGTCTGCGCCTGTAATCTAAGGCATTTACCTTGCATTTACTGGAACCCACCTTAGCTCTTCGTCTGCAAGAGGATTTGCTGAAGGTTCATCTTATTAGGTTCTGATTTGTGCTTGATTTTGGTGGTTTGGCCCTTTCTCGTTCAGTCAGGATAACTGTAAGTAGGTGTAGAGAACTGGAAGGTCAAGACTTTGACATAAATTCCGAAGAGCCTGTCAGCTCGGTGCATCTTGTATATCACTCACGCTCATAACTTCGTATAGCATACATTGATACTTTTAACCCACTTGTTCGGGCAATTAACGTCAATTTTTGCCTTTGTATAGCTTTTCCTGACAGATGTTTTGGCTATTCAGTGTGTAGAAGAACGAACGCTTCAAACGAAGTAACTTTGTGATTTATATGTTTAGGTGTATTGCCAAGTATGTCGAGAGACCTATAGCCATAGACCTGAAACACTATGATCACCGAGCACATGACGAGCTCATTGAGAGTCTTTGCAGTTTTCGAGGTTAGCTCAGCTTCCCTTCTTGTTCTTCGTCAGTGTGGAGATGGAATCTTGCGCGGAAAATCCCGCCCCCCCCCCCCATGATTCTATTTCAGCCATAAATCACTGGCTTGAGACTCATTATCCACGATAATAGTGAAAAGAACTGAAGTATTGCTTTCGTTTTGATTAGAAATTCGAAAACTCGAAAAGGCTGCTACGCGTTCGAATTGCCCACGGACGTCTTTCACGAATGCTGGCGACGGGGATGCTCAAACTTGGTTCTTGGAGTGCATTCACTAGAAGCTCTTTCTGGCCTTCTGCTTCGTGCATTCACATCTTACACTTCTACTCCATCCTATTCCATCGATCGATTTGTCTCCACTCTCCGAAATCGCGCGCTTTAACCCGATTCTCTCATTGCGTCGCCTGGTACGTAGCCGGCCAAACGCCGTCTTCTTTCCATGCCTCGCCTGGCTCTGCCTCCTGGTCCTTCGATGGTCCATAACGTGTAGTTTTTGTACGTTTGTTTCTCTTCAGAAACCGAATCTTCATGCGTGAAACTTTGTGTGCTATTTCCAGTGATCACAACTGACATATTCATGTTAGGAAAGAGTGCAAGAATTTTCCGCGCAAGATTCCTTAAATGAAAAAGAGAGTGTGTATTTTAGCGGGTTTTCAGCAATCAAATCCATAAAATATGGTGCACGTATGTGTGACTGTTGTGCGTGTCAGCACTTATATGATCATGCAGGACCAGAAGTTGATCTTTTCGAATCCCGTAGGTTTTATTTTCAATGATTGATTTGTGTCATGTTTTTTTTATGAAAATTATGTTTTTAACCACAATAATAAACCACTAGCAGCTCCGTCCCTTGGTAGTGATCTGGATTATTGTGGATATGATGATGGTCTCACCAGTCCCAGATTTTATTTCTCAGAGGACTTTGAAGACGACTATGACGACTTAAGTAGGTTTTTTTTTAACTCTTCCGGGGCAACTTTTCGATTTCCTCATTTTTTAAAATTATTCTCGTTATAGATTTCCGTGAAGACGACGACTATTAAGTGAAGATCTCAGCAACGATTGCCATTGTGAAAATGCAGTATTAAATCGTATACGGGAATGACGCTGTTCTCTCTCAGCACCGACGACGGACAGATTTCTGTCGCTACAGTTGATATTAACCGGTATAGAAATTATTGGTGAAACCATTGAAGCAACTTTAAGCTTTTTTGAAATTATCGGCAGTACAAACTGTAAGATTGGAAAGAAAACACCGTCCGCGAAATCCGCATCAAATGTTTTGGAAGTATGTTATATATCAGTTTATGTTACCGATCAGTTACATATCTCATGGCTTATAGTAGCCTTTCGAAATTTAGTTGGAAATATACTACCGTAAGAAAATAACAATGTTAGATGCTGAAGCGTCACACTTAATTGACATACTTTATTCGAACCTCTTGATAGGAACATGACATTCATTCATTAGTGAAGCCAGAGTGACCAGATCGTCGCAGGTTTTTCCGTCATTTTCGGTAAAAATCTGCAGCATTTATTAAGTGATCACAAATGTGGAATTCATTTTTGGTGCTGGAGCCAGCCAGCCTCAAAAAGGCTCTCATTCAGGATTCTTGGAGTGCTTTCACTGTATTTGTTGTTGCTCATAATTCTGGTGCGTTTTGCTTCCAGGCTGTTTTTGTATATATTTTTTGCTTTCTTTCCGATTCCAGTTCCGGTGCTAAACTGTTCCAATGAATTTAATAATATGCGGTTTCTTTTGAAGGACAGGCGAGTTGTTGTTGATTGGTGCTTCCTCACCTCGGCTAAGGAAAAAACTGAACTGCACCATAGAAATGTCTTGATAAAGTGCCTCGATGGGTTAGGATCCATAATAGAGGTAAGAACCTGGGTATTGTTAATCTCCTACTCACGGAAGAGGAAGTGATTCGAAAGAGGCATAATCGAGAGCTGATTGGGAGATGATACCTCCAATTGAATGTTTTCTTTCCAATCTCACATAGCCTTTGAATAACCACTTGATACTCATTATTGGAAAGTACTTCGTTCATCGTTATTGTTGTAACTTTATGTGACATTCATGAAATTTTTCCTCTACTAGTCAGTTTTATTCTTCGTTTCACTATTTTGTAACAGTTGTGGGTTTTTGAAAGCACATTTTGCTTCATCGATAATCCTATGTCGATAATTACGTATGGCCGTGATTACACCCCTTACTACCAGTGGAAGTCAATAGGTCATACCGGCCATTCTCAGTGTGATGTACAACTTTGCATATCTCCCTCCAAATCTAATCTAATTTTCTGATCGGTGCTATAAAGCATAAAAGGCAACGGTTGTGGTTGGGCTCGCGAGTAAGCAGTCATGGGATCGTCTGATGGTCAGTGAATAGACTGCTTTTTTATTGTTTTCAGCAACACAATTGGAGGGACATTATAACAGTGCTTGCCTACAAATACCATCGAAGGCTGGGAGCAGCTCTTAACAACTTTGTTGCGCTATTTGCAAATTATCCCCTGTGGCGCGCGCCAAGCGTTTTCTATGAAAACTGTGGTACTCGTAATCAGTAAGCCGATCTATCAGGAATGACCTGGGGGTTTATTCTAGCCAAATCTGACAATTTGACCCATCGGATATCGGAGAACTATAGCTTAAACTCTAGCTGGGGGAAAATTAAAGGTGGAATTCTGCGATGAGAAGGCAGTTCTTAAACCGAAAACAAAGTAGCACGTGCCATATCTAAAATGGTCAACGGTATTCGAGAAGTCCATGAGCAAGCGGCTCAAAACCAGCAGAGATGACCTCTTCTTACCCGACTGATTTCAGCATTGGATGGTGAACTGCTCATTGCGCCGGCTTACTTCCACGCTAATCCTCCTTCTGCTGAACGAACTACGAGGTCAGGCGATCGAGAAAAGGTGAACGGGCAGCGGTGCGAGACGGTAGCAGATAGGCTGGCTTCGCCATGGCTTCGCACAGCCCATGGGCAGCAGTTCTCGCTCACCGATACGCCGCATCGTTCCCCACCACTTATGAGGTCCGCTGTCCTTTAGGCAGGTTGCCTCTTCTTCAATCTCGAACTTCATCGTGAGCTTCTCTTATCGTCTTTACCACATTTTGAAAAAAAAAGGTTGGCTAACCTGGCTTGCGTCATCCGTGGATCTTATGACATTGCTGCCTACTGCCCACTCTAAGAGTTGCAAACTGTGAAACTTTGTAATGACTGCTTCTCTCTTTCAAAATCGGGGTTTGACCTCGTAAGCACGAAAATAGCACTTGTTCGCCAGATAAAACCTAGCGCCTGCTAGGGGTGTTCATGGATACTCATGGGTAAGTAGTGCCTGAAACTTTGGAGGAGTTGTTCGTGAATCGTATACAGACAACTTCAGGTTACCGTTGACGAAATAGCCCATTGAAATTACTTTAACACTGTTTGGGAAAAAGCAAAATAGCAATCCCAGAGTGGATTAGAACCAAAGACCTCCTTGTAGTGAGTCTGGCTCCTTCCAATTGACCAACTGTAAGGTCCTTTCTTCGCTTATAATTCATCCACACAGGCCGTGTAAGCGGGGGGGGGTCGGTTGCAGGCAAGAAAGTGCGCCAAAAAGCTATCATAGAGAATTATTTAGCAAATTTGGGGGATAGGTTAGTGCTCAGCGTTCCAAGACCAATGTAAGAGGCGCAAACCATTGCAAATGGCCGGGGTGACTTGTTGACCTTTCCTATTTAGTCAGACTAGCTAGAGGTAAAGGAGGGTGATTAAGGAGTGAGTGGGTGAAGTTAGAAAGATGCGGAAAGGGTGAAGTTAGAAAGATGCGAGAGACGCTCAGGATGAAGAAAGTGGCATCGCCTAGCAGGCTAACGGACCGTGCGATGACAGGGTTAGCGCCGTGGAGAAAAAAGTGATAAGAGAAACACCATAGATAGTAGTTTTTCGAGATAATTCAAATCAGCAGTATAGAAACACAGCAATATACAAGAACATCAGTTTTATGTACATACAAATATAACACATGGGTGAAGAGATTCGATAAAATTGATTAGGCCATGATCCGTTGCACGAGCTCTTCACAGGATTTTGCTAGATGTCGTCCTCGAAGAAGAAGTCGGCGCATCCAGGATTGGTCCGAGGGTTTGTATTCCGAAGGAACCTAAAGAAGCGAACTTTAAAAGCTGCTTAGGGGTAACTAAGGAACCATAGTATTAATATGTCTGTCTTGGTTCTAGAGAAATTGTTACAAAAAAGACGCAGGGGCTCGTGATCTTCAGAGCTAATGGTGAGTAGGAGTTAGGGTGCCAAATGGGGCAACCCTTCACGCGATGGGTTGAGAAGACCAGCCTCTGATAGCTGCGTTTTCACGAGCTCAACTAAAGTTGCAGAAAAGGTGGTAAACCCTCATCTAACTACGGTCGTAGGACAGTTATGAAATGGATAATGTTCTGAAGTTAAGTGACGTTCAATTAAAACAAAGGGAGGGTCTCATCCAGTAAGGGGGGCATGTGGTGCGACAGTTCATATTGCATGAAGAAATCCACTTTTTTCAGGGGAGGGAAGCTCCGGGGTGGGTGTAAAAGTTTAAGCGAAATGGTTCACGCACCCCGGGGTTCCCTCCCCTTGCAAAAATTGGAATTTCTGTAGCCGACAAGAACTGTCACACCACATGCCCCCTTACTGGATGAGACCCCAAAAGGACTTCAGCTTCACTAAAGGAGGCTGTCAAACGCACTGATGTTAAAACGTTACTTCTAGCCCGGCCAATTTACTTGTGATTTGTAAACCTCACCATCTCATCAGTCTTTTACCCTGACTCTATTTTTAGCACAAAGATGCTGGGTTATGGAAAAGCGGTCGGCCCAGGCGGATCCATACCCGCATTTCTCGTGAATCAAAAACGAGACCTATTTTATGGGCTTCCTCATTGCAGAATCGACAGGAATGAAGTACTATGGTTCTAATTTAGGGCCAATCAGTCCAATGCAATTCAAACACTTACAACTAAAATAAGGCCCCCGCTCTACGTAGGCAGTTCCGTAATGCTTTTATTGTTGACAAGAAATGCACTCACGTGAAGTTGTCGGATCAGTTCCGCCCACATTGTGTTAATGTTCATAGACAGTAGAGCTGACACCTCGACGAAGCTGCATTTGTAGAATTTTCGCTATGCAAGATTTACCTTTTCTGAAATGACTAATTTTTGAAGGTGTTGCGCGTAGTACAAATGATGATTCGGGAACGTAATCTAAGAATCAAGTTCATCTAAACAGGGCCACACACAAATGTAGACGTTGGGAAAAGGCGTTAGCCAGTGGGGTGTTAACGGGATTAGCCTCAAGGAATAAAACTAATGAAAAAACCATCAATTAAGAAAAATAAAAACCATTATAATCGACATATGTAATTAAAGTGATTCGTTTCGCTCCTTCCTCAGACGAACTTTATTATTCCGTCAATCCGCGGAGCTCATCAGTGAGTTGAGGGCGAAATAAAGACAGGGAAAGACGTATAAACCTCGAGCTAACGTACAAATTTAGCCTTTTTCCTGAATTTTCAAGAAATTTCAAAATTGGTCAAGGTTTTGCACAGTTTTTTTTTTATTCATTTTTTTCATCCTGACACACTCTCACTAATTACGGAATTTTTTCCTTGCGATATTGTCTGGAAGTAGGGCAAAAAATGAACTGGGGTGAGGTAACGAGCTTTCTAGACGATCGAGCTTGGGCGATGGTAGGCATTCATTGCAGTGTCCAGAGGGGCTATAGGAGATTTAAATACGCATTGAATTCATGTTTAGGTCTGGCAATAGTTGTCGATTTAAAGCAACAGTTCAGGGAGGGTCCGAAAATTTCAATGCCACTACTACTGAGGGATACACGAGCCCTAGTGAAGAACATATGCAGTGGAAATAATAAACGAACTTACCTCAGAAACTCAAAAACAGGGTGGAAAGTCCCTCAAACATGGGTGTTCTTGGGGATTTCCCCAATCCCGCCCCCTTGCCGGCCGTCATTGGACGCGTCGGCAATCGTGCTCGTTTTGGGACCACAGGGAAAATTGATTGAAAAATGGAGCGCGTTTACAGCGGGCACGTTCAGACAACTCGTCCAACGTGCGTCTTTATCCATTGCTGAGCGGCAGAGGGAGAGTACCTGTCTAAGACCCTCCCCGACGTTTTTTTCCAGTTTTTCATACATTAATCGTCTGGTTTTCATCTACAACTTCATTATTGGTGGTTTTTTCCCGCGAAACCGTTCCTGAACTGTTGCTTTAAGCGCAGTATCTTTCCGGGCGTACTGACAATAAGACACATGCATGTTTCAAAGCGGGGGGTGTTTTTTTACTTCAGTTGAAGGATGCGCAGTGATGACGGAATAAATAATATTAAAAAATATTTATACTGAATAGTAAACTGTCTCACCTAAGGTAGAGATGACAATGTTCCGCTTCAGATCGATTTTGTTTCCCACCAATACTACAGGAACAAACGACGAGGTTCTCGTAAGTTATTGACGAGATTTCTGAAAAAGAGTAACAAGTTAGCCGAATGGGCTGTAAATTTTGCTGAAATTGAAATCTGCTCTCGATTTTATCAGGCTATTTGAAGCACACCCCGCAATCAGTTTCATGGTAGAAATCCTCCCACGGATGGAGTTGCTGGGCTGCGGGCGCGGACGCAGAGGTCCTGCCACTTAGCAACTTTGGTATGCCTGCGTACTATGGAACTGTGCGGACACCACAGGAGTTACGTATGCTCATGCTGTTGTCGTCATTCATTCCAGCGGTTCATGTACTAGGGAGATCTTGTTCTCTTTTCTCAGCTCGCCATTACCTGATATGCCTGCTGTCTGCTTTCTTGGAGATCTGAACAGCGTTATAGAATAACAGTGAGTCTTTTTTTCGGAGGAAGGTCATTGCGATTGTTCTTCTTTTTTTTTCCTCTCAGACTGGCAGTCCGCCATTCGCAATCCCGGGGAATTTTATTTTGAGTGCAACTACCACAAATAAACTTTTTTTGAGTCGACGCGGTTTGCTTCTGAGCTAAGTTATGCTCTGCGGTCTGCGTTATTAAAATATATCAGCTGTTTGCCGAGAAGAGCAGCGACCTAAGAGTATTAATTAGCAAGTAGGCTGGATAAGAATTACGTATGGAGTTAAAGTTCAGCCCAAGTAGGTAGTGGGATGTTTGAAAAGAATTGCACAAGGGGTGGGGACGTGTAGCAGTTGGCATAAGCACCGGTGGGTCTCGCAAACCATTCTATAGAACCAAGTCTCTGCAGAGCCAATCAAGTCTTCGTTCTCAGTGATCGGGTAATTTTTTGCGGATTTGTCGTAAAAACAAAAAGGGCTGAGTTGCACATCGGGTGACCAGCTCCAGTCACTGGCATTTGAAAACTGCTGAGACTCCGAGTGGAAGTTGAATGCGTGGCGCACTCCATAGAAATATAGGCTTTCAACTGTATGTGAATGGTGTAATTGTACTTACCTGTATAACAAGTGCGTAGCTTTTTTGAATGACTCGCGGCTATCTACAGAATACACAACCACGTACATCGTGATATGATTGGCGAAAGGGGAGGACTGAAAAAATAACTTATGTAAAACAAATTTAGGTAAAGTAACTTGATTAGTAATAAAATAACTTAACAAATAACAAAGTTTGCGTACAGTCTTAGCTTTTCAAACTTTCACGTGACAAAGTACATCGGAATTTTCATTTTTGGGATTCTTCTCGAAATTAGTGATAGCATTTTGCCACTGGTGAGAAATTCTCGGATTGCGCAATTCACGGAAAATGTACCCGTTATAAAAAAGGCCTTTCCGTAGAAATTTGTGAGCAAAGAGGAGCCGACAACCGAAATCGAGTTAAGCAGGCTTTGAAAATGTGTCATGAATTGGTTCATGGGTTATGTAGCGCGCTGTGCTGGGAAGACACCGGAACAGATGTAATCGGAGAAAAAAGATGAAAAGCTATGTAAGTGTAACCCACGTCACTCACCTCTAGAGTTGATTCCATGACTATTTCTAGTTGAACTTCTTCGCCGTTCAGAAGAAAGTTGATGGTTTTCGAGACGGCCTCTTCTGTTTCACTTGCTAAATCAGAGAAAGCATTGAATTTTCAACACTGCAGTAATTATTTAGCTGTATCTATAGGTTCCTGGTGACCATTTTAAGTGGGAGTGCGGTCACAATGAGCGACAACAGCGCCGCATCGCGACCGCACGTGTCTCATTCCACCTGTTTTGTATGTGTCTATCCAGGGTTTTAAGAATGAAAGCAAGAAATTGACTTACATATGACGTGAGTCTGTTCTGGAGTAGTCGTTGAAGCGACATGGTAAATTTGATGTGCAAGCGTCTTCTTGCCAGCATTTCGGCTACCGTATAATCGTAACAACACCTGGCGTGCTGGTGTGGTCGACTCCGGGTAGAGGTAGATTTCTGGACACGTGGCACGACGATTTTCGCCTGAAACTCGCTTACTATTTTGATACCCATATTTATCATAATTTGGCCGCCCAGAAGTCCGGTCAATAAATCATGAATAACAGTTTTCAACGCATAAGAAAAGTTTGCATACGGTAGTAAGGGTCTCGTGACATTCAATCCTTCTGCCGTGTCTCCTTCACAAGGCCAGACACCTGACACTAACGCCGCGAAACTTGTCCGCAGATTAAGTGCTCACCCCGCTCGCCTTCCCGAATTGCCTAGCCATACACCTGGCTCACACATGCGTAACTTACTACAGTCACGGTCACACAAAAAGGATGATTTGATGTCATACCCGCCGGCCCCCCCCAAATCGGCGACCATAGGTCTCGAGGCATCGCCGGCGGTCGCCACCCCGCCGCAGTCCACCGCTTGCTACTAGCGTCAGTCAGCGAAGAGTCGTGCCATTTTGACTAATTTTGTACAAATTCGTCACCTCACCTCCGCTTCTTCCGATTGCCTTCCACGCCTGTTTGAGCTCGGTAGCCGGTCCACAAGTGAGCCGTTTTTATAGTCGAAACTTCGTAATTGACCTTCGATACGATCGATACTTTTGAGTCCATCCTATGCAATAATTCGTTAAATTCAAGAAACAAAAAGAAATCCTGAGCACAAAACGCAATAGGAGCGATTTCAGACGGACTTAAATCGCCGACGACAATGTGTACGTTTATTTCCCTCCTTCAGCACTTGAATTTTTTTTTAAACAAAAACCCGGCAACTCCTTCCCTGGTTCTTCTGTTTATCTTTTATGTGATAGTTGCCGGTAAGAGTTACCAGCCCAATTCTCACAAAATTTATCTACTAAATAAAATATAAGATGAAACGGCACTGTGTGCTTTGAACCAGGTGTAAGCTGGGTGGTTGTGGGGGGGGGGGGGGGCGGAGAGGGGAGGTCGAATGATGACCGATATACAACTATTCAGGCCTGCGGTACCCTGCGGGACCTCAAAGTTGTTGCAACGCAACGTACCGCCCCTTTCATTTGCCATCTCCTGCATAAGGCACACTTATGGGTTAGGGGTTCTCACTAGTTATGACCGTGACCATAGACCATAACGCAATACTGCCATTTCTTCTTGTGTCATATTGAGCGCCAAAGATATGATATTGTCATGGTAATCGCGGCCATCCGAGCTTCATGCCAACTAGGCAAACTTGTCGCTGGCAAAGTCGGCTGCGCACACATCGTTGGTATTTTAGAAGCAGTCAACGTCTTTTGCAATTCACTTACAGCCCAGGGTGATTATTGGTTGAGGAAGTCGCTCGACTAGGGGGTCGCATCTCATATATTTGGGAGGGTGTAGGGGTTTACCCAGGGTCAACCGTCACGTTCGAACATTTTCGGGATTTTTGCGACCCCCCCCCTCTCGAGAGGGTCCAGTTGCGACCCCTCCCAACACACAGTTGCGACCCCCCAATACAACCAGCCTTCCTCCACCGCGACCTCTCCCTCTTCTATAGTATTTGATTCTGAGACCAGTTGACACAGCCCAAAACCTACCTAAAACTCCGAAACTCCACCCACTTTTCCCCAAAAAACAGCCGTCGAGCGGGGGGGTATATAAAACAGTGAAACTTTTTCTGCACAACATATTGCCCTGCGCCTATAATCACGCAAGGCGCGCAACATTGCGACAGAATGCGCCCCCCTTCCTTCCAGATCACACACAAATGCGACCCCCCCCCCGTTCGAACTGTTCGAACGGACGGGTGACCCTGGTTGTAAGCGCAAGGTTCAAAAAACGGGCGCAATGGTGCTAATGCCACTTTTGGCTGTCATCACTCGTAATAACTTCGTATAGCGAATAGAAATCATGACATTCCGTAAGCTGTCTGGACTGGATGTGCGGTGGATGAAAGGGGTCGTATCGGAGCCGGTTAAGGGAGGGGGTCGGTCGGCTTTTTTTCGACACTATTTCCACCTCTGCTGTCTCAGGTCGAAGAGATAAGGTCTTGGTGAGTAAGTATTCATGGCCGCATTTAAATAGCGAGGAATGATTAATATTGCGGTTTTCTTTTTCATCTCGAGGTTTGGAATCAAAGAGACAAATCGACGCCGCTACACTGATCAGAATGACAATAAAATCAAAATTATACTGTAGTATTTGTCGCTGTACTAAACCAGAAAAATTGTTAGCATTGTACCGGAGCTCTCGCACTAATATTATTGTTTTTAAGGACGAATTTACGATGGAAAAGCAACCCATTCCAAATTGAGGTAGAGATGGTGAGTAGTACCAGAAAGAAAGCGAAACCACGAAAAACGGCCCAGAACCGGAGAAATGGGACCCCTTCCTTGTCCGTTGATTTGAGCATTGATGGGACTCTCATCGCTTTGCCCTCTTCAACCCTACGCTCTCTCAGCTATCTAATCACTCGCCACCTATTGTACTACGGCGAGTGATCAGACGATCGGTGGGCGGAGATCGCCGAACTCGCCAACTTTGAGCCATGCTAGATCTCAGAGGTCAAATCTTTCGATGCCGATTGCGTGTCTGTCCGCACCCTCAAGAGATTCACCGCTCTCCCCACTAGGCGATTTCTCCCTTCTTCGACCTTCGTTCTTTCCGTGCAATCCTCCTTTAAAACTAAATGAGTTAGAAACTCACTTTTCCACAAACATTGTTGTTCGTTTCCATGAACCCACTATCGGCCAACGAATATTTGTATCTGAAAAATAATCCATTTTGAAAAGCTAAAAGAGTGATTAAAGATGAACATGAAAGATCATTTTCAGCTTCAACGGGAACGAATCAGATAAGAGTAATGTATTCTGTTTTTACCTATTTAGATACGTCGACTTCGCGATTCGGATCTTGCTAGTCACATAAAAATGTAAAATCGGAAATATTTCAAATATTTACCAACTATCTTGGGTTTTCTACGACATTGCGCTTCTCTAGAGGGCCCGGTGCTTTACCTTGCCGTATGAATGAAAGCATGGTTGGGAAAGAAAATGAACGAGCAAACAATCAATAAATAATAGAAAAATGAATGGTTGAAAGCGAGCCAAATAACTCGCTCTTATGATAGCCAACATTTTCGTTCAAAAACTTATGAAAGCAATTTGCTATATATTTGTAAGGTACTTGGTAATAATTAAGAATGCGTTACGTAATTGAATGGTCAGTAGTTTTATAATGAGTTCAGCAGTCCTTGTTTAAGGACATTTTTGAGTAGAAAGGGGCAATACCTGGGCTGAACTCTTGACAGTGAACTGGTGTAACGAGGTATTTAGCCGAAAGCTTGAATGTCTTTTTGGTCGTAAAATCTTGTTATACATCAAGGTGAAGTCGTAAAAATTTCCAGTGCAGAGCAGAAGATTTTTCTTTCTTTAACGGCCTTAAAGATTAAGATTATGGTCTCGTTTATGGGTATTTTGCTGAGCTACTCTAATATATTGGAACTTCCGGCAATAAATTCTTGATACCTAATGTGCTTATACATTAACAACTCGAACTACAGCAATCTGCGGTCTAGTTAAGTTCATGTGAGGTCTATAAAAGAGTTGAGGGCGTAGAAAAGGTAAAAAAAAGGTTGTCGAGCCCAAGGTTAGAAATCATTGCACGTCACCAAAAGTGCCCAACCCTCAAAATTCGAGTTTTTATGGGGATGTCAAGTGTAGAATGGAAGTATTGGCTATCCACTGCAATACATTCCATGGTTAAGCATTCACATCTATCTACCATCTTGAATGGAAGCCTGATACGTGGCGCATAGGTCGGCTGAAATCGATAACTTTGCCGATCTAATTCTGAATCGAAATATGTACTCGTTTGGCTAACCAGCACTGGGTGGATGTTTCAGATCCAGTGTCAGTGGGAAGAAAAATTAAATGCATAATGAAGTACACTGTCCAACTGCCATTTATGAAATGAGCTTCTGAAGGGCGAAATGTCAGCTGATCGTCGTGGGCGCGGTTGTTTCTAATCCCACGAGACAAAAATGAGCCCTCCGATTTTTGCGATAAGGAATGACGTCACCTGATTTCGTGTTCAGGATTAGAGAGCAACGACCTGCCGAAACATTTCTCAAGAACCGACCTAGAGGCTAGTGTCCAATGTGGCTTCAGAAGGTCTCTCTCTACTTTTTTAGGGCAAAGTTGATAAATCAGGTCAGTGCTAGGCTTTAAAAACGCTCTATGCCAGACACGAGAAGCCTGAAAATGTTGGTAATTTCAAAGTGACTGAAATGAGATACTTGAAAAAACCACTAAGGATTTTTGGAACAGATTTATAGGTGGGCAATGAATTGAAGGCGGATAATATAATTGGCATAAGAAATACGGTGATAACTAAATAAAATAAATAACTCAATAAAAATAAACTTATAATCAAATTCACCATGATAGTATCTATATAGTGAATTCCGCCCAGCTGTGGATCGAAAATCGAAAACTATGCCCATTAGGCCTAATGACAGTGATAAATTTTACTATGCAGGTAAGTTTTGCACAAAAAACGACTTTGCGATATTACTACACGAGTTATGCAGGTCCGGTTTTATCCTTAATGCTAGCGAAGCTTTCAAAAACAGAGATGTACAATTGGCGTCCGCCATTATGTATTATATATTTGGAGTGCGCCATGCATTCAATTTCTTTCAAGAAATAGGGTATCTTGACGAGTTTTCAAGTTGTTCAGAATTACCGATATTCATGTGAGTGTTTTAATCCATACGCATGCTTACTTATACTATGAGGAGTTGGAAAGCTAGGTTAGGAAAATGGGGTCTAACCAAGTAGTCATGCTAAAATCCGACACAAAAACAATGGGGCTTCAACAACGAACCCTTCGAGCTATCCAGGTAAGATAAGTCAGAAACCGTTCAAGTTGAAGCTGGTGAATCGAGCGGTGCTCCATATAAA